TATCATGATACTATAATCACTACCCATCCAGCTACACTATCATGATACTATCACCACTACACACCCAGCTACACTATCATGATACTATCATCAATACACAACCATCACCACTACCATGGTACTATCATCACTACATAACCATCACCACTACCATGGTACTATTATCACTACAAACCATCACCACTACCATGGTACTATCATCACTACACAACCATCACCACTACCATGGTACTATCATTAAACAACCATCACCATTACAATGGTACTATCATCACTACATAACCATCACCACTACCATGGTACTATTATCACTGGTATAAACCGTGGTAATAAATACCGACAAGTTGGTTTAGAAAGACACGTAAGCAAACACTATGACATATTTATTAGAAAACGTTTCGGTCCTGGGACCTTGATCACTTCTAACATACAGAGGTAGAAAGACATTACATATATAGGCGGAGAGTGAGGTGTGACTATTATCACTATTATCACTACACAACCATCACCACTACCATGGTACTATCACTACATAACCATCACCACTACCATGGTACTATCATCTCTACACAACCATCACCATTACAATGGTACTATCATCACTACATAACCATCACCACTACCATGGTGCTATCATCACTTTATAACCATCACAATTACCATGTTACTATCATCACTACATAACCATCACCACTACCATGGTACTATCATCAATACACAACCATCACCACTACCATGGTACTATCATCTCTACACAACCATCACCACTACCATGGTACTATCATCTCTATACTACCATGGTACTATCATCACTACACAACCATCACCATTACAATGGTACTATCATCACTACATAACCATCACCATTACCATGGTGCTATCATCACTTTACAACCCTCACCACTACCATGTTACTATCATCACTACATAACCATCGCCACTACCATGGTACTATCATCTCTACACAAACATCACCACTACCATATTACTCTCATCACTACACAACCATCACCACTACCATGGTACTATCATCTCTACACAACCATCACCACTACCATGGTACTATCATCTCTACACAACCATCACCACTACCATGGTACTATCATCTCTATACAACCATCACCACTACCATGGTACTATCATCACTACACAACCATCACCATTACAATGGTACTATCATCACTACATAACCATCACCATTACCATGGTGCTATCATCACTTACAACCATCACCACTACCATGTTACTATCATCACTACACAACCATCACCACTACCATGGTACTATCATCTCTACACAAACATCACCACTACCATGGTACTATCATCACTACACAACCATCACCACTACCATGGTACTATCATCACTACATAACCATCACCACTACCATGGTACTATCATCTCTACACAACCATCACCACTACCATGGTACTATCATCTCTATACAACCATCACCACTACCATGGTACTATCATCACTACACAACCATCACCACTACCATGGTACTATCATCACTACACAACCATCACCACCACCATGGTACTATCATCACTACATAACTATCACCACTACCATGGTACTATCGTCACTACATAACCATCACCAATACCATGATACTATCATCGCTACATAACCATCACCACTACCATGGTGCTATCATCACTTTACAACCATCACCACTACCATGTTACTATCATCTCTACACAACCTTCACCACTACCATGGTACTATCATCTCTATACAACCATCACCACTACCATGGTACTATCATCACTACACAACCATCACCATTACAATGGTACTATCATCACTACATAACCATCACCATTACCATGGTGCTATCATCACTTTACAACCATCACCACTACCATGTTACTATCATCACTACACAACCATCACCACTACCATGGTACTATCATCTCTACACAAACATCACCACTACCATGGTACTATCACTACACAACCATCACCACTACCATGGTACTATCATCACTACATAACCATCACCACTACCATGGTACTATCATCTCTACACAACCATCACCACTACCATGGTACTATCATCTCTATACAACCATCACCACTACCATGGTACTATCATCACTACACAACCATCACCACTACCATGGTACTATCATCACTACACAACCATCACCACCACCATGGTACTATCATCACTACATAACTATCACCACTACCATGGTACTATCATCACTACATAACCATCACCAATACCATGATACTATCATCACTACATAACCATCACCACTACCATGGTGCTATCATCACTTTACAACCATCACCACTACCATGTTACTATCATCTCTACACAACCTTCACCACTACCATGGTACTATCATCTCTATACAACCATCACCACTACCATGGTACTATCATCACTACACAACCATCACCATTACAATGGTACTATCATCACTACATAACCATCACCATTACCATGGTGCTATCATCACTTTACAACCATCACCACTACCATGTTACTATCATCACTACATAACCATCACCACTACCATGGTACTATCATCGCTACAAAAACATCACCACTACCATATTACTATCATCACTACACAACCATCACCACTACCATGGTACTATCATCTCTACACAACCATCACCACTACCATGGTACTATCATCTCTACACAACCATCACCACTACCATGGTACTATCATCTCTATACAACCATCACCACTACCATGGTACTATCATCACTACACAACCATCACCATTACAATGGTACTATCATCACTACATAACCATCACCATTACCATGGTGCTATCATCACTTTACAACCATCACCACTACCATGTTACTATCATCACTACACAACCATCACCACTACCATGGTACTATCATCTCTACACAAACATCACCACTACCATATTACTATCATCACTACACAACCATCACCACTACCATGGTACTATCATCTCTACACAACCATCACCACTACCATGGTACTATCATTACTACACAACCATCACCACTACCATGGTACTATCATCACTACATAACCATCACCACTACCATGGTACTATCATCTCTACACAACCATCACCACTACCATGGTACTATCATCTCTATACAACCATCACCACCACCATGGTACTATCATCACTACATAACTATCACCACTACCATGGTACTATCATCACTACATAACCATCATCACTACATAACCATCACCACTACCATGGTGCTATCATCACTTTACAACCATCACCACTACCATGTTACTATCATCTCTACACAACCTTCACCACTACCATGGTATTATCATCACTATACAACCATCACCACTATCATGATACTATCATCTCTACACAACCATCACCACTACCATGGTACTATCATCACTACATAACCATCACCACTACCATGGTGCTATCATCACTTTACTACCATCACCACTACCATGGTACTATCATCACTATACAACCATCACCACTACCATGTTACTATCATCTCTACACAACCTTCACCACTACCATGGTACTATCATCACTATACAACCATCACCACTACCATGATACTATCATCTCAACACAACCATCACCACTACCATGGCACTATCATCACTACATAACCATCACCACTACCATGGTACTATCATCACTATATAACCATCACCACTACCATGGTACTATCATCTCTACACAACCATCACCACTACCATGTTACTATCATCACTACACAACTATCACCACTGCCATTGTACTATCATCTCTACTCAACCATCACCACTACCATGGTACTATCATCACTACACAACCATCATCACTACCATGGTACTATCATCACTACTCACTCATCACCACTACCATATTACTATCATCACTACACAACCATCACCACTACCATGATACTATCATCACTACACAACCATCACCACTGCCATGATACTATCATCACACCACACCCAGCTCTACTCTCATGAGACTATCATCGTCAACTATCAAAACTACCATCAAACATTCCACAATTCAGTACAATCTCTGATTGTCTTGAATGTTGTTGTGAGTAGCAAACCTTCACCAGTCCTTCCGAGGAAAGACACACGGATTTAGCGCTTTATTTAAATAATAGACATATCTGTTTAATGACTACTTCTCTGCAATATTCACACTCACAACATCTGCGCAAAGTACAATAAGCATTAGGTCCTTACTTCCAAGTACACTAGCCATGGCTCTTGCTTTATTAAAATATATCACATCAACATATTCTAACCCCACTAATAAAACAGTTTTGCTTACTGAATGCGTAATCGCCACTGCGATAGTGTTACAGAGTTATTCTTTGCTAGTTCTGTTGTCGGCTTATTCGAAGTATTCCTATAAGTATGCAGAACTGTAGAGGCGTGAAACTCGGCCCTTGTGCCCCTATGATCGTGCGGCGGTTATCACCGTATCCTTTTAAGAAAAATGATATGCACAAAGCAGTCGCAACTCAACATAACTCAGCCGCTGACAAGCGTGCGTACTTATCCCCTTTCCTTATTTAGGAACCTGTGTTGGTTAATGATAACAATTTGGGTCGTAACCCATAGAAGTCCGTCAGGGGAGTAAGTGGTCCATCATACAAACCCCTAAGTCAACAAATTATAGAAGGTAAAACACGAAAATAAAAATTATTAAATGAACGACTTAGGTTAGAGAACAAGGAAAAAATTAAAGAACGAATTACTTTTGATCGAGAAAAAGCATCAAAAAAGCATTACAGAGAGGATGCAATAGAATGTCCAGGACTAACTGAAAACTCAGGTGACATAATGAAATTAGTGACGTGTAACACCGACCAGGACATTATCAACATCAGACAAAATACTCAATTTGAAAGTATTATGTAGCCATCACCCAGGGACGTCACAAAAAAATGCAAGACCAGGAAAAGGATTCAAAATCCATTGATCGCTCAGAAGAGAGAGTTAAAAGAGCCCAACGAGAGTGAGGTACTATGTTTGGAGCCTCGCCCACAGTGTGAAGAGAAACCTCTAGCTCTCGACCGTCTCTTCAGAATCGGGTTTTCGCAGAAGCCAGGCGAGAACGAGGTGAAATATAAATTGAGGGAAAAGAAGAGATTATCCAATCCCTTGATTGCTTTAAAAATGGGATATTTAGAAGTAGATTCCAACAGTGAGGAGCTTGTAGCTTCCAGCACTGAGGAGCCTGTAGCTCCCAACACTGAGGAACTTGTAGCTCCCAGCACTGAGGAGCTAGTAGCTCCCAGCACTGAGGAACTTGTAGCTCCCAGCACTGAGGAGCTAGTAGCTCCCAGCACTGATAAAAGTATTATGTAGCCATCGCCCAGGGACGTAACAAAAAAATGCAAGACCAGGAAAAGGATTCAAAATCCATTGATCGCTCAGAAGAGAGAGTTAAAAGAGCCCAACGAGAGTGAGGTACTATGTTTGGAGCCTCGCCCACAGTGTGAAGAGAAACCTCTAGCTCTCGACCGTCTCTTCAGAATCGGGTTTTCGCAGAAGCCAGGCGAGAACGAGGTGAAATATAAATTGAAGGAAAAGAAGAGATTATCCAATCCCTTGATTGCTTTAAAAAGGGGATTTTTAGAAGCAGATTCCAACACTGAGGAACTTGTAGCTCCCAGCACTGAGGAGCTAGTAGCTCCCAGCACTGAGGAGCTTGTAGCTCCCAACACTGAGGAACTTGTAGCTCCCAGCACTGAGGAACTTGTAGCTCCCAGCACTGAGGAGCTTGTAGCTCCCAACACTGAGGAACTTGTAGCTCCCAGCACTGAGGAGCTTGTACCTCCCAACACTGAGGAACTTGTAGCTCCCAACACTGAGGAACTTGTAGCTCCCAGCACTGAGGAACTTGTAGCTCCCAGCACTGAGGAACTTGTAGCTCCCAACACTGAGGAACTTGTAGCTCCCAGCACTGAGGAGCTTGTAGCTCCCAGTACTGAGGAACTTGTAGCTCCCAACACTGAGGAACTTGTAGCTCCCAGCACTGAGGAGCTTGTAGCTCCCAACACTGAGGAACTTGTAGCTCCCAACACTGAGGAACTTGTAGCTCCCAGCACTGAGGAGCTTGTAGCTCCCAACACTGAGGAGTGTTCAGTTCCCAGCACTGAGGAGCTTGTAGTTCCCAGCACTGAGGAGCGTTCAGTTCCCAGCACTGAGGAGCTTGTAGCTCCCAGCACCGAGGAACTTGTAGCTCCCAGCACTGAGGAGCGTTCAGTTCCCAGCACTGAGGAGCTTGTAGCTCCCAGCACTGAGGAGCTTGTAGCTCCCAGCACTGAGGAGCTAGTAGCTCCCAGCACTGAGGAGCGTTCGGTTCCCAGCACTGAGGAGCTTGTAGCTCCCAGCACTGAGGAGCTTGTAGCTTCCAGCACTGAGGAGCTTGTAGCTCCCAACACTGAGGAGCGTTCAGTTCCCAGCACTGAGGAGCTTGTAGTTCCCAGCACTGAGGAGCGTTCAGTTCCCAGCACTGAGGAGCTTGTCGCTCCCAGCACTGAGGAGCTTGTAGCTCCCAGCACTGAGGAGCTTGTACCTCCTAGCACTGAGGAGCTTGTAGCTCCCAGCACTGAGGAGCTTGTAGCTCGCAGCGATCAGGAGATTGTAGCTCCCAGTGCTCAGGAGCTTGTAGCTCCCAGCGCTCAGGAGCTTGTAGCTTCCAGCACTGAGGAGCGTTCAGTTCTCAACGCTCAGAAGCTTGTAGTTCCCAGAGCTCAGGAGCTTGTAGCTCCCAGCGCTCAGGAGCTTGTAGCTCCCAGTGTTCAGGAGATTGTAGCTCCCAGCACTGAGGAGCTTGTAGATCCCAGCACTGAGGAGCTTGTAGATCCCAGCACTGAGGAGCTTGTAGCTCCCAGCACTGAGGAGCTTGTAGCTCCCAGCACTGAGGAGCTTGTAGCTCCCAGCGCTGAGGAGCTTGTAGCTCCCAGCGCTGAGGAGCGTTCAGTTCCCAACAATGAGGAGCTTAAAGCTCCAAGCGCTGAGGAGCTATCAGTTCCCAACACGGAGGAGTCTGCGGCCCCCAGCTTTCAGCAGAAGTCTCCTACACGCAATGAATCTATTTTCAGAAGTGACAACACTACCAGCCCTGAGCAGGATTCTCCTGTGCCCAGTTGTGAGGCGGCCATATCCGGAAGGAAAATTGTCACTGCACGTAGAGCACATATCTAGGTAACTTCCCCGGTATCAAACACTGTGGCCCAGACCCAAAATGAACCACTTGGCTTCGTTTCTCCTCCAGTGGAGAACGGTGCATCTGGTGGTAACGTTTTTAAGTTTCAGGGCGCCGAGAAGATGGTATCGCCAACAAACAACGTTGGGAATCAGTTGTGTAATGCTGGAAGACGAACCGTGCGTGCTCGACGAAAAATGTAGGGGGATACCTTGGTCCTCCCCGTGGTCCAGAATAACACTGGAGATAATAAAGAATCTATTTCCAGAAGTGACATCACTACTGAGCAGGATTCTCCTGTGCCCAGTTGTGAGGCGGCCACATCCGGAAGGAAAATTGTCACTGCACGTAGAACACTTAACAAGGTAACTTCCCCGGTATCAAACACTGTGGCCCAGACCCAAAATGTACCACTTGCCGTCGTTTCTCCTCCAGTGGAGAACGGTGCGTCTGGTGGTAACGTTTTTAAGTTTCAGGGCGCCGAGAAGATGGTATCGCCAACAAACAACGTTGGGAATCAGTTGTGTAATGCTGGAAGACGAACCGTGCGTGCTCGACGAAAAATGTAGGGGGATACCTTGGTCCTCCCCGTGGTCCAGAATAACACTGGAGATAATAAAGAATCTATTTCCAGAAGTGACATCACTACTGAGCAGGATTCTCCTGTGCCCAGTTGTGAGGCGGCCACATCCGGAAGGAAAATTGTCACTGCACGTAGAACACTTAACAAGGTAACTTCCCCGGTATCAAACACTGTGGCCCAGACCCAAAATGTACCACTTGCCGTCGTTTCTCCTCCAGTGGAGAACGGTGCGTCTGGTGGTAACGTTTTTAAGTTTCAGGGCGCCGAGAAGATGGTATCGCCAACAAACAACGTTGGGAATTAGGTGTGTAATGCTGGAAGGCGAACCGTGCGTGCTCGACGAAAAATGAAAGAGGATAACTCCTCACAGTGAGTTAACTGAGATTCCTCAGAGGGACATATGGTCGTGGCACATGTTGCGGATGATTGAGTCATGACTCAGGTGGTCGCCGGTTATATTTTTTTTATTGTAAAATATGAGTATTGATTACTTTTTATATTTTAATATTAAGTCTTCTTCTTTTTCTTCTTCTTCTTCTTCTTCTTCTTCTTCTTCTTCTTCTTCTTCTTCTTCTTCTTCTTCTTCTTCTTCTTCTTATTATTATTATTATTATTATTATTATTATTATTATTATTTAAAACAGGAAATTGTAAGGAACAATATTAGTTTTAAGAGAACAATGACACTACACTAGATCTTATTTGCTGATAGCATTTATAATCACAAGATGAGCTAAACCAGTGTGGAACACCGGGAGTGGGGGGATAGTGTTTTAGTTTCAGTTCTCCGTCTGCTTTCAACACAGTAAAGATTATAACTCAAACGTAAAGCTAAACTTGTTAAGCCTATACCAGGCCAAAACCCATGTGCCTGTTTAACCTATATATAAACCTACCCAAAGTTCTCATCTCATAGACGTTACCTATTGATTACGCTAAGGTCATGAAGGCTGAACTTCACGTTTTCAAACCCAGACAAAAAAATACTTTAATCCCTAAATAAGTGATTAAACACTCAGCATATACCCTCAGAGACTTGTATCTGTTGATGCATAAATCCAGAAGCCGAAATAAAAAAAAATATATGAAGTTGAATTTATAACGTGAGGAATTTATTATTTATACTTTCTGAGATGAAGCCAAGAATCCTATCAGCTTTATTGTGAACACTTCTGTGCTGTTGTCTTGGCCTTAAATTTCCCCTGTCCTGAACTAACTGTTTTTTTCGCATTCAGTTTTACTATGATCAGCATCGTTTACTTTATGTATACCGTAGTTAATTTCCCTTCCTTGTATTACCACCTCACTTTTGTCCACCAAAAAACTTATTCCTTCTTATTGATCTTTGTTTTTCTCTCTCCTTCTCCATGGAATAAGTTACTTTGATTTCTTTTCGTGTTATCCTCTTTAATTTATGCTGTTTAATGATTGTACTTATGTGTACCTGTGCCTAAATAAACTAATTTTTCATACACTCCATTTCTTCCCTCTCCTACATTTCTTCCCTCCCTTTCTCCCTTACTCTTTCCATGGGGATCACCTGATACAGCGTCTCTCGCACACTTTTGGCCTCCATGAATCTCACTTTCATAGGAAATTGGAGAATTTCCCGCCTCCATTAAATATAATTAACCTTGAACACATAAATTTTACATTTAACGTCATCTTTTCCGAAAACACGGCATTAGGTTTGACGCTCTGAATTAATCGACTTTCTGGCATTTTTATTAGACAAAAAAAAAAAGCGTCTTTTCTGGTTGTATTTATATTTTGTGTATGTCAATACGGATATGAGTGATAGTGTGTGTGTGCATATTTATATAATTTTACATATTGTGGGTTATTTGTGAATTGTTCCAGGTACGATATTGTGAGTTGTGAATTGTTCCAGCCAAGATACTGAGGATTGTGAACTGTTCCAGACTAACATTTAAAAAAAAAAAATAACAGTTAAATCCGTTTATTATTATTATTATTATTATTATTATTATTATTATTATTATTATTATTATTTTTATTATTATTTTTATTATCACTGGCCGATTCCCACCAAGGCAGGGTGGCCCGAAAAAGAAAAACTTTCACCATCATTCACTCGATCACTGTCTTGCCAGAAGGGTGCTTTACACTACAGTTTTTAAACTGCAACATTAACACCCCTCCTTCAGAGTGCAGGCACTGTACTTCCCATCTCCAGGACTGAAGTCCGGCCTGCCGGTTTCCCTGAGCCCCTTCATAAATGTTACTTTGCTCACACTCCAACAGTACGTCAAGTATTAAAAACCATTTGTCTCCATTCACTCCTATCAAACACGCTCACGCATGCCTGCTGGAAGTCCAAGCCCCTCGAACACAAAACCTCCTTTACCCCCTCCCTCCAACCTTTCTAGGCCGACCCCTACCCCGCCTTCCTTCCACTACAGACTGATACACTCTTGAAGTCATTCTGTTTCGCTCCATTCTCTCTACATGTCCGAACCACCTCAACAACCCTTCCTCAGCCCTCTGGACAACAGTTTTGGTAATCCCGCACCTCCTCCTAACTTCCAAACTACGAATTCTCTGCATTATATTCACACCACACATTGCCCTCAGACATGACATCTCCACTGCCTCCAGCCTTCTCCTCGCTGCAACATTCATCACCCATGCTTCACACCCATATAAGAGCGTTGGTAAAACTATACTCTCATACATTCCCCTCTTTGCCTCCAAGGACAAAGTTCTTTGTCTCCACAGACTCCTAAGTGCACCACTCACCCTTTTCCCCTCATCAATTCTATGATTCACCTCATCTTTCATAGACCCATCCGCTGACACGTCCACTCCCAAATATCTGAATACATTCACCTCCTCCATACTCTCTCCTTCCAATCTGATATCCAGTCTTTCATCACCTAATCTTTTTGTTATCCTCATAACCTTACTCTTTCCTGTATTCACTTTTAATTTTCTTCTTTTGCATACCCTATCAAATTCATCCACCAATCTCTGCAACTTCTCTTCAGAATCTCCCAAGAGCACAGTGTCATCAGTAAAGAGCAACTGTGACAACTCCCACTTTATGTGTGATTCTTTATCTTTTAACTCCACGCCTCTTGCCAAGACCCTCGCATTTACTTCTCTTACAACCCCATCTATAAATATATTAAACAACCACGGTGACATCACACATCCTTGTCTAAGGCCTACTTTTACTGGGAAATAATTTCCCTCTTTCCTACATACTCTAACTTGAACCTCACTATCCTCGTATAAACCCTTCACTGCTTTCAGTAACCTACCTCCTATACCATACACCTGCAACATCTGCCACATTGCCCCCTATCCACCCTTTCATACGCCTTTTCCAAATCCATAAATGCCACAAAGACCTCTTTAGCCTTATCTAAATACTGTTCACTTATATGTTTCCACTGTAAACACCTGGTCCACACACCCCCTACCTTTCGTAAAGCCTCCTTGTTCATCTGCTATCCTATTCTCCGTCTTACTCTTACTTCTTTCAATAATAACTCTACCATACACTTTACCAGGTATACTCAACAGACTTATCCCCCTATAATTTTTGCACTCTCTTTTGTCCCCTTTGCCTTTATACAAAGGAACTATGCATGCTCTCTGCCAATCCCTAGGTACCTTACCCTCTTCCATACATTTATTAAATAATTGCACCAACCACTCCAAAACTATATCCCCACCTGCTTTTAACATTTCTATCTTTATCCCATCAATCCCGGCTACCTTACCCCCTTTCATTTTACCTACTGCCTCACGAACTTCCCCCACACTCACAACTGGCTCTTCCTCACTCCTACAAGATGTTATTCCTCCTTGCCCTATACACGAAATCACAGCTTCCCTATCTTCATCAACATTTAACAATTCCTCAAAATATTCCCTCCATCTTCCCAATACCTCTAACTCTCCATTTAATAACTCTCCTCTCCTATTTTTAACTGACAAATTCATTTGTTCTCTAGGCTTCCTTAACTTGTTAATCTCACTCCAAAACTTTTTCTTATTTTCAGCAAAATCTGTTGATAACATCTCACCCACTCTCTCATTTGCTCTCTTTTTACATTGCTTCACCACTCTCTTAACCTCTCTCTTTTTCTCCATATACTCTTCCCTCCTTGCATCACTTCTACTTTGTAAAAACTTCTCATATGCTAACTTTTTCTCCCTTACTACTATCTTTACATCATTATTCCACCAATCGCTCCTCTTCCCTCCCGCACCCACTTTCCTTTAACCACAAACTTCTGCTGAACACTCTAACATTACATTTTTAAACCTACCCCATACCTCTTCGACCCCATTGCCTATGCTCTCATTAGCCCATCTATCCTCCAATAGCTGTTTATATCTTACCCTAACTGCCTCCTCTTTTAGTTTATATAAACGTTCACCTCTCTCTCTTCCCTGATGCTTCTATTCTCCTTGTATCCCATCTACCTTTTACTCTCAGTGTAGCTACAACTAGAAAGTGATCTGATATATCTGTGGCCCCTCTATAAACATGTACATCCTGAAGTCTACTCAACAGTCTTTTATCTACCAATACATAATCCAACAAACTACTGTCATTTCGCCCTACATCATATCTTGTATACTTATTTATCCTCTTTTTTATTATTATTATTATTATTATTATTATTATTATTATTATTATTATTATAGATTATTACTATATTGTGAAACGTTAAATTTTTCTGAAGGTTATACAACTGTAGAATGCGAGGAAATGAAGTTTGCTCCGAGGAAGGGAAAGTTGCCCAAACTCCTTGCATCAAGAGCCCTTCATTAGCATCACCACCTTTGAAAAGCGCCTGACCGACCTTGAGGTCAGGTTTAAGGGCAGATCGCTGGAGGTCATGAGACCTGCAGCCTCTTACATGTGGGGCCTCTGGTAGGTCAACTGAGCTCTGGATCATCTCATGACGTTATTATAGCACATAATTAAAAAAAAAGTATTCAAGCATAGCAACACCTGTGTAGTGGGTTATTCAGTATAAGGACTTTTGGAGATTCGATCCTCCGTCCACTAATTGCCAGAGGTTACCAGTTATCCAGCCTGGCTGCCCACTACCTCTAGGTCGCTGTAGCAGCAATCAGTATTATATTCGAAGCTATTTTTATATCTATATTAGGCGGGTCATCATCTGACTAAGACCCGCGTCAGGAAACACTAGTCCTGTTTCCTGACGAACCTTACCTAACCTAATACCTTTATATCAATAGAAGTTTTGCTGTTTTATTTGTCAGGAAACAGGACAAGTGTTTCCTGAAGCGGGTCTTAGTCATATGATAACCCGCAGCTGGAGCTTTTGGTCATCTGACCGAGGTCTTCCACTGGTTTACCCGTCCACCTCTTTAAAAATATGGTTATAATTATAATCATTCAGGAACAATACTACTACTTTTGTTTTCAACAGTGAAGGTTTTGTAATGTATGCACCACAGACCTCCATT